CGCACGAACATATGTTTCAATGAAAATGGCCCGAGAATGACGTGTATCACGCGTGAAACGTTTAAACGACACACCGCGATGCGATGCGACGGCATGCGTGAGTTGCAAAAACAATTTCGAGTCTCGGCCGTCATCACGCTGCCATGACATTAATCCCTGTCACGGTGAATAGAATGGGTTCGTCGATGAAAAATGTTACATTGAACAAATTCATAACGGCCGCACGGGATTTTGAACGTTGCAGAGGCTTTCAAATCGTTCACACGTCACGTTTTTCGAGACGAGATGAAAACCGCGGAAGAAAACTTATTAAATATTCCATCACGAATATTTTTAACCGGAATAAACCAATGATAACAAAATTCGTTGGAAATTGCCCTTTGAAATGCTATACTTTTGAAATAGCCAATTCTTTGCTGAAAATTACTCATTTTAATATAATCGACAGTACCATTCGGATGAGGATTGTTCATATCGAAATTTGAATTTTTGCGAAAATTTCGTACACGGTAAAAGACTCATTTCATTTTGCTGCGTTTCGTCGACTTTATCCGCTCTCCGTGTGGACGATAACTCATCTGCCCGAACAGTAATCTTTATTTATTTCTATCTTCAGTACTTTTTATTATCTTTATCCTAGAGATACATATGTACAGAGTGATAAACATAGAAACGCTACTCTATTCCCACATTTACTTTTAAGATACTCCAAGTTCTAAGTGTACATTAAACTAGTATTAAAATAAATCATATTATATTCAATTATATCGAGAAAAGTTTTTATACAGATGTGTGTCATTAAGAGAAATGACTTTATCCGTGAGAGAAAATTGAAAACAAGTTCAAATTAATTTGTAACCTGCCAGCCAATTAGCAGTTCTGTTGGCTCACTTGTTCGTAGCGAAACATAACTTGTCGACTATGATTCCACTTTGTACACTATTCTCGTCAGTTAGAAGATTAAGTTGGCAGGTGGCTGTTATTGTTACTCGCACAATAACACGTATTCATTATAATATTCACGACCTGATAGTGATTCCGCAGCATACAGAGTAAGGAGTACGTGAGAGTTTCGTAGCGGAACGAGATAGCGCACCAAAGAATCTGCCATATCATATCACATCACCATATGTATAATTATGTAACTCTATAGGAGAAAATCTCGCAATGCGTTGGTACATAATAAGTTCAGTCTTCCTCAATTTTCTATCAACTAACAATAAGTAAAATGACTGTTGCGAAATTTGAGAGATCAGTTTAATTTTGTATGAAGGCGAGTCGCTCGTGCCTGATTGTTAGCTATAGTTTTCTCACGAATATTACAGAGTTTATATGAAAATATTATTTATCTTGTTCTCTCTCTCGCTTCTTGAAATATTTCAATTTCTCTGCAAATTAGGCGATAGAACGATGCTGCATGAATCCTTCTATAATTTTTAACATTTTGAAAAAATACGTCGAACATCATTATAGAATATATTTATATATAATCATGATAAATATTATAAAAATTATTAGACAACGAATATTATACGCTATTTCATAAAAATCGAACATCGAATCGGGAAGCGAGATTAGAAAATAACTCATGTCCTTCTTCTGTTCATTGTTCCATTCACAATCGCGTTGCGTTTATAAAATATCGGAAAACGAACAAATATTAAATGAAGGATCGATGTTTATTTTGGAGAAAAAAGTGGACAAATAAATCTTGTGAGATTTATATTGAAATCTACTTGGCAATGGCTGGGCAGCTATTTTTCGAATTTATTACTAACAGTTGTACAATTTACTGGTCTGTAATTCTGACGTTCAAACAAACAACAATTCCTCTAATACTTTTGCAATTGTAATATCTATAATTTATATAAATTATTTGTGTATCGTAATAAGAACACTATAAATGTTAAAAACATTACAATTATGAATCTTGTATATTCCTGCATACACTGCAAATCACCACTCACATTTTGCATCAGGTGTCTGCACGATTCTTAACAGTTTAGTATAGTATACATATATTATGTATAGAATAATAGAAGTCTGTTGGGCTAACATATTCCCAATCGATACCACAAACTATTTAATCTTCTTCAACCACGGAAAATCACATCTCAATGTATAAAGCAATGTAAATAAAGAACAACAAAATGTGATTTCCAATTTAAACTTGTCCATCAAGAAACAAATATATTTAACTAACCAGATTTAAAATTAATAACACATTTTAGATTCTAACTTAAATACACGCTTCGTAATAACGCGCAATGGCGCTAGTCGACTTCCTCGAGTCGCGATTTCATCGTAGAAACCACCTATTGTCGCACACGAAGAGATAGCCGAGAACCCGGCTCGGCCCGACCCGACGACGCAGCGGGGAAAAGTGTTGGAGGAATATTTATCGCCGCGCGAAGCGGTTGCTAAAGCGTATAACGATTCTCTGATACAGTAACCGCGAGGAAGGTCGCGATAAAGAAAAAATGGACGAGACGGATAGCTTCGCAACGCTGGGTGGGAGCGTTTATTACACGCTCTAAACTCCCATGAAAACCCGTATCGTCCGAGTCGTTAATATTTCATTAGGGAAGCTCGAGCTTTTTTTCCCCAAGCAGAACGGAGCGCGGCGTAGAAGTTAATAACGGAGGTTCGCATCGCGGTTCGTCGGCCGCACATGCGCCCACTCGAGGTGCAACGGCCCGACCGGCTATATGTTTTCGCAGGTGGCTCCTACTACCATAACCCTATATTTCGATAATTCTGACCGTAAATTATGCCGGCGGAGCCTCGGAGCTCCACCGAAAACGTGCTTCCTCTGCGGCTAATAAACTGCCAATGAACGGCGCGGCTCGTTCGATGGCTAGAAACGGTACGATTTCTTAGCCCTGCCACCCATCATCAACTAAGGTTTCAGCGTTTCCTGAAGTTTCATTCGCGGTTGGGTAATAACTCATCGGTAAACGTCGGAATCGCTCGCTAACATGTTAGATCAATGCTGAAAGACTGCAGGCTACGTATCTTTGGCTTTTTGGTACTGATACCATCTCGTGGATCTCTTTTGAATAAAGTACGATTGTAGAGGCTGTGATTTGTATAACGTCAAATGTAAAAAAAATGCATCTCGTAAATTATTTCCTAATAAAATTAGAAGCTTATCCATAGGGAAAGTAGTTATAATAATTATAGCTGGGATTCAAGAAATTAGTGCAGATTATATGAAAAAGTTTGTCATAAGATAAAAGACTTTTAGAGAGATTCCAACTAAATTAAGTGTATGAAGAAATTGACGACAAACTGTTGGTCGTGTATTGGGAGGAACACTTGCAGCTTCAAGTAGAAAACATTTAAAAATAGTACTTCCAATATTTCTACCATTTTCTAAATGATACAAAGTTAAAAATTCTTTCACTCAGACGTTTTTAACATCTGTTACCTTTAAACAATTTATTACATTCATTATTATCATGATTTTCCTACAATTGTATGAATAAAATGACATGATTTTAAAATAACTGAATAGTACATGTAAAAGTAGCATGTTCTCCAAAAAGAATTGAAATACATTATTCTTTATCTTTATCACCGTATGGTCTTTTATCGATAGATCAGGATGAGCGTAACGATCGAATGACGCGGGCTGACATTTGTTGGTGACTGTATGCGTTTGAGAAGGAAAAGCATCAATCGTGGTCATAGCGTTTGTAACCACGACTAAAATTAGTGCCCCTTGTGGTCACGCGAACGGAATGGCTCATTCTAAAGGGACCCAACAGGTCTCTCTACTTGTGGTCAGCGGTAGAATTAGTGTGACTTGTGGTCGTAGATCTGCCGTACGCGTTTGATCTAAGCTCGCTGCTCATGGTGATTAGTATCCTGGCACGTTCGAGCACCGCTGTTCTTTTACCACGCATAGAACGTCTAAATGCATGCCTAACCCTATCTCATCATGATTAGCAAATTCACTCGATTCAATGAAAGCTGCACAAGAGGCTTTACAGGTTTATTTTTAGTCACCGACAAATTGTAGTTAAATTTAGTTGCATTCTATTGCAAAATGTTCATTTTTCACATAATAAATAACGATCTTTTGTCGTGGTTCTAAATGAGACTCGATTACGACTCTCGACATTATGTTTATTTAAATTGAGATACGAATGCGTCCGCAAAACGGGAGAACAGTTTGCAAGTTTATTCTTTGAAAGCTTTAAGCATTTTTCTCTATTCTCGGAACGACAATTAACTATCATTAGTACGCCGGGTAATAAATGGCAGAGATAACGAAAGTATGCCCGAGCACAATCAGTCTCCATTAGCGCAAAGGCGGTGCACCTATCGTATGAAAGGAAATGAGAATTCCGGACGTGGTCTCAGTTACCTGAGGATAGAATAGAAGAGGAAACGCGAGACGAGAGACGGTGGAGTTAAGCACGTTTACTTATTTTTTCCTTCGGCGTAACGCGGGTCACGTAGCAAGATTTCCTCATTTGCTTACGTTAGATTCCCGGTTGACGAAGGAATTTCCGGTTCGTCCTCACGTGGATGAGAACGACCCGGCGAACTCGCTCAGCTAATTGATTATTTCGCTGTCAAGTTTTTACTTTGTTTCCTCTTCTTCGATTCTTGGTTACATTCAACGATTGCGTGCCCCGAAGGAACGTGATTACGACATAGCATCAGCGGAACTTGCGAGGGAACAAAGAGACACTTAATGAGAACAGCTTACTGACCCGAAGTTTAAAACTACCGTTTTCACTGAAAACTTAAAAATTAAATTTCGCGATCGCGCACCGCTTTCGCAACTCGCTTTCGGGCCAAATTGCAGAAACAAAGTTTAACGTTGTTGCTTTGCGAGACCAGAATAAGCGGTGGGAGATAGTTCGCGGGTTCGTAACGATCTAAGTTCCGTTAGAATTGTATCTTTAATTACCGCGGTATGTTTTTTTAATGATAACGTTTTGAATCTTTGTGTTTAGTAACGTATAGGATAAACAGCAAATACTTACTAGCGTAGAAGTTATAGTGAAGCTCAAATTCCTTTACGTAGTATTCTTGAATCCATTCTTCCTATATACCTGAAACAAAATCCCGAAATCAAGTACATGGGAATAGATACATAAATGCAATTTTTACAATTAATTTTATTTATTTATCCGTTTTACCCCTTTAAACTGAGGAAGGCTTTTTTGAAAAATGTTCCCATTGGGTGCCTAGGTCACATTTCGTAGGCTTAGGCACCGAATTTGAACATTCCACACCTTCCGCTCACCTTCTTGTGACACTACACCTGAGTTACTTTACAATTAATTATTATTATCGCATCGTTTTATTCTGATCATCTGTTGGAAATTTCATGTGTAATTGTATTGAAACACGTAAAAGGAAACTAATTCGATAAACCAGAGAATCGATCACGGCAACGGTATCAGCCCGATTGAAATACTCGGTGCACGCTGTTCATGAATCAATACAGCTGCATATACGAGATGCGAAACTTGGCACGCCTTCTCGTCGCGATTGATTCGTGAAATGACTTGGCATCTTAACAACAATTACTCTTCACTTCCAAACTATAATGTTTCCAACGGAACATATTTATAATGTGTTTCAAGAAGAACTGATCGTGATCAGCATACCAGAATTATTATGCGATGAATTAAATAGAAATATAAATGAAAGTTTATAGATAGAAGGGAAAAAGATTATGGAAATTTCATAATATTTTACTAGGTATATTCGGAATATTATATGAACAGAGTAAAAATGGACAGCAAGATAAAATTAAGTGGTCTGTTTAATTGCAATGGCTGAAGACGAGAACGTATTTACATAGTTATGAAAATAGTCCATTACCGTGTTTAGTAGAGAAATATTTAAATTAGCCGCTTATTCTCTGTTGCAGTTAATATGAATTTCCAATGTAATAACACGGGCAAGGTTAATAAGGTGAGAATGTTAAGTGAATAAAGAGAAAACCGTTCCGAGTGAATACTTGTATTTCACGTGACGAAAGTAGGTTTAATAAAACATCGAATTCAAATACGTAAATATAAGTACTGACTCGCTGCCTCTGCGAGCTGAGATCGTGAAGGTAAGGATATTAAAAATTAACGCTATCGTTTTAAATTCTCTTTCAGCGAGCAAGTGGAAGTTAAAGTTCCGTCTCGTGACGAGGACAAGCTAATGATCGATCTTCGTTCTTCTCCTTCCGCGCGGGACAAGTTTGAAAAAATTCTGGCCAAGAAACTTTTCTCCCCCACGCGAGAGCGTCTCTTTGGTATGGTAATTTCGGCGGATAATTATAGCCGAGCGATTTCAAAGCGTGACGAAAAGTTTGCCCTTTAAACTCGTTAATTGCATTTTAATTCCATTGCTCTTCTCGCAGCAACGCGGTTCGCAGAACCGTTTACCGATAAAAACTATAGTAACCTACATCACAACGATATGCACATCTACATGGCAGACTAATTAATTATTATCCAATGTTCATGAAGTTGATATCGAAGCATTTTAGAGAAGTTAGGTTCAATTATAGGAAAAAATTAATCAATGAATAGAAAATTAGAATTAGAATTCCTTACTATCCCTTTTTCGTTCGATTTCAGATATCGGGTCTTGGCGCAATGAACAAGAACCGAATAAGCGAGGAACAAACTAGTAATTTTCTACCTAAATTATCCTAGTTCCGAGTCCCTTTCACGGGTCGACGGCTAGGTATTCGCAGGTAATCTGTATGGTCCGCTGACCGAAGAAGCCGGCTTAGATCTGAAACACTCTCATTTATAACTTTTAATTGGGTATGTAGGAAAGTTTTGAACGGGGTTCGGCCAATCGTTACGCGACGCGCGCCGCTGTTTAATCGGAGGAATTGTTCGACCTCGATCAAATATCGATCGGTCTGTGTTTTGTTTACGTAAATACATTCGATTCCGAAAACCTCGAAAATGTACACATAGTTATAATCTCGCGTGCTTTTCTTCCACTGTGTTTTACCGTAAACGTGACGCGAATTAAAGTGGTAGACTCCGATAGCGTCGTGATAAGACCTCAATGTTACCCATTAAATTGGCCAAGAATGCGAGTTTACGCTATTCGATTCCACGTTTTTTTGTCTCAGAGAATCAAGATAAAATTTGTTTTAATGTTTAGTTTGAGGTACACTTTGTGGCACTCTGGTCATTAATCAATGAGAATAAGTGTTACAAAGTGAAGAAAAAATGGTAATATCTATGCTTTGGATTTTAAGCAATTTTATACCAAAAAAAGCCTAATAAAAATAAAACCAATAAAAGAGAGACCAGCAGTCACCTGAAAGTTTATAGCAAGTGGAGATTCCTAACATTTTTAGTTACATAGGGTAGATGCAACTTTACGAATTATAGCCACGATTCCATTACAATGGATTTTAAAAGAATTTAGAAATGAAATTTCTCTCTTTGAAAATTAAAAGTTATAAATAAATGCATTGAATTATAATTATATTATAATTTCTGCTTCTCTAATTTCTCAGAAATGCTTATTGCCCGCAGGAAGAACACTGGTCCAAATTAACGCGAATATTCGAAACGTAGGTTTGGAATTACGCTTTTAATCGCTTTTATGTTTTTATTAATAAATACAAATTGTTAATTGAATTGTGATTCTTGCGTTCTATAAATTCTATTGTTTTGCCTGAAAGCAATTAGCAACGGGTCGATTGGGATTCGACCTTGCGAATAATTTATCAACTGGCCCCAATCTGAGATGCCGTGACAGATAGTATGGTTTTTACGTAAACGCAGAAGACAGGAGAAAGATTCATTTATTATACTCTCTGTCGGTGGTAGTAAAATCTAAGTGAAGTACTTATACTGATTTAGAGAAGGTTATCTAATGTTGTGCGTAGAATATGATCAATAAATATATATAATTGAGCGAATGATGATGATAAAATTGATGAGGAAGCTTAAATTAATTCACTTGATAAATTATTTGAATGCTACAAAATTTCATTTCAAGAATTTAAGGACACTTCTCACTCAATGGGAGCATCTATTATACCCAGACAATTTGTAATGTGAAATTATTATTATTAAAAATTTAATCAAGTAATTGACTGAAATGGGAAGAACATATTGAATTAAAGTTTTTGAATTTGATCTTCGATGATTACATAAGAAGTAAAGAATTCTTTACACGGAGAATACCCGGAATGTTATTCGATTGTTTGAAGGAGTGGAGAATCAATAACAAGCAATTGTTAGCGAAGGATTGGATGTTCTCGAAGTTTAATTTAATTGAAGGGCAACGATATTCTTAGACGAGAAACGTGATAGTTATGGTATGTTCAAACTATTGAATTTTAATGTTTGCTAGTCTTAATGAACGCCCAAATAAGTTAGAATTTCAAAGTAGCTATGAAAACCTTAAACTTGATAACAACTATCTGATAGAACCTTTACTCTTTAAACAGACGAACGAGTAGAAGTCAGGAATTGGTTTATTTGTGTAGAATATGTATTCTACATTATTTAAAGTAGCTGTTCTTCTGCAATGTTAGTTAAGATAAAGCCTACAAGTAAACAGCTACAAATACTTCCTCTGTATTAAGAATTCGCATATTAAAAAAGATGAATTTTGATTATTATACTTTGCTATAAAACTGCTAAAAAATATTTTTGATTTAGGCAACAACTGTCTTAAAAGCATTATTATAATCTATTGAAAAATGCAAGTTTCGATGCGTATATTTTCTGCTTAGTATTTATTCCTATTTTGTGTTTAATAAATTTTTTGTAACACACGCACGATTTTCGCTACTTTTCGTACCTATGCGGGCCTAAAGTGGGCGTAAAGTTTCTCTTGATGATTTTTCAAAAATCAACGGATTTATGCCAAATTTGGTATACGGGTTTTTTTTTTGGGTCACTGATCACGAATCTGAAATCAGATTTGCAAAATTCAGTCCCACTGAACACGTACGAGAAACCACGAAAATACGTCCGTCCGTTACAAAAAATATGATATGCACCAGAGGCTAAGTAGGCTTTTGACCTCGTGTGGTTGCAGTCCTCGATCTAAAAAAGCCCACTTTACGCCCTTGATACACAATACTAATTGTACTCCAATACAGAGTCGTCGTGTGCCACTACAATAAGGGCGATGCGTACTTGTCTATATTTATACAGAGCCAAAATCCAATGTGTTAAGCTTAAGTGTATGTACCTATGTATATATAATGTAGAATGCAAAGTCTAGAATTCAAGTACCTCAAGGTGTAATCGTTTAGGGAGTACTTAGACAAACGATGTCGTTTGTACATACCTCGAGGAAGCTGCGCATAAATCGTGCGCTATCTTCGCTCAAAATAAACGGGGCTTCAGCATTCTCGCGTGGCTGACAAAGACGATTCTCTAAACGTTAAACGGGAGACGGACAGAGAAGAGGTTCCGGGAGTGAAGAGCTAGACGATCGTCATTTCCTCGAGAAATTGCATCTTTGGTTACTCTGTTGTTCTAGCAGGTTGACCGTGTGCACAGGAACTCCGCAGTTTCCAGGACAATGTCGAGTTCGGCCGGAGTAGATATCCGGGATAAATGTCTTGGTAGCAGAGCTTAAAGCCTGCGACGTAGGACGCTTCATTTCGCAGTCACTCGCTAAATCTCCGACCTTTTTCATGCCGCTCTTTTGTTACGAGCTAATTCCGGTTAATGAATTTTCTATCGACAGTCTCACCGATTTATTAAGTGAACAAATAGCGTCGTTTCCCTTTGCAAATCCAACATCTTGCATGGATAATTATATGCAGAGGCAAGGATAGTCACGTGACTTTCAGATCGGAGTCTAACCCATTAAATCTAATGTCAAAATACATTTAAATTATTAAAATATTTAATAACAGTAACCCTAATTAATTTTACATACAATGTACATATATGCCTACAATTGAAATTATAATTTCCAAATGTCTATAAGATTGTCTGTTTAAATCATGGAAGATGAGGCGAGGCTCCTCCTGTTCCTAAAAAATTGTTTCAACCGGATGATTTAATATCTCAGTAGCAAAATCCCGATCGGACCGATGAGAAACTGTTTC